CGTTACGATAATCTTTACCGAGAAATAGGAGGTGTGGATGTGCCCGCTCTTGGTTTCGCTATTGGAATTGAACGCTTGGTGGACTACTTGGAGGAGAAAAAAATACTGAAAACTGAACAAACGGTTGATATTTTTTTCTTGGCAATGGCGGCTGAGGCTTATCCAAACATTTTATCTTGAAAAAAAGCATTAGAGCAACATTCGTTAATAATGGATTATAATTTAGAAGTAAAAAAACTAAAATCCCTCGCAAACATTATCAATCATTACCAACCAAAATTATTGATTATAGTGGGAGAAAGAGAATTAAAAAGTGGTAAAATAGCAATAAAAGACTGCCAAAAAAGACAAGACTTTTTGGTGGAAAAAGAAAAATTAATAGAATGAATTAGTAATTATTTACTCCAAAATTAATCATTTTAGTTAAAATTACATTAATTATCACCACCAGATAAATTCCGTGGTGGCAAATAAAATGGTAAAAAAAAGTTTAGACCTGGAATTAAGGTTTTGAAAGGATTATCCAATAATCGCAGGAGTTGATGAAGCCGGGCGCGGGGCTCTGGCAGGGCCAATAATAGTTGCTGCTGTTATCCTACCGACCGGTTTTCAAAATCCCTTAATTCAAGATTCAAAAATACTTAATCCCAGCCAAAGAAAAAGAGCCTATCGTCTCGTCAAAAAAGAGGCCCTGGAATATAATATTATTGCTAAAAGTGCCCGAGAGGTAGAAATTAAAAATCCTCTTGCGGCCACCAAAGAAGCCATGGCCGAGACTCTGGCTAACCTAAAAAATAAACCTGATTTATGCCTAGTGGACGGCCAAGAGAAAATTGTGATGGAAGGATTTAAAATTGTCAGTGTGGTGGGTGGCGATCGACGATCCATTAATATCGCCGCCGCTTCAATTGTTGCCAAAGTAACCCGAGACACCATTATGCAGAAACTTCACAAAAAGTATCCTCTCTACGATTGATTTGGCAATAAAGGCTACCCTAATAACGCCCATTTGGCTGCTATTTTTCAGCACGGAATCTGTGATTTACACCGCCAAACCTACGAACCGATAAAAAGTCTATTAAAACCGGACTGCGATAAAAAAAAGTTGCGAGAAAAGTATGGGCTTTAAGTACGGACTTTCTTAAAAGTATAGAATTTAGTCTGGCTTTCCCAAAAAGTACAATCTTTCCTCAAAGCACGGACTTTTTTAGGAGGAATAAGTGGGAGGATTTTTAATTGCTAAATATATTCAATACGCACCAAAACCGATAGTAAATAAAATATAGACTATAGACAAAATGAGGCAAAAAATGGCTCAATTATGATGATTATTATTGGTTAATACTTCATTCATTTTGACATAATTAAGAATGGCAAAAAAAACAAGTAGCCAATGGATAGATAAAGGCTTTTAAAAATGTTCCTAAATTTATTAATATTTTTTTGGTTCATG